CTGTAGCCATAACAAAATCCTTTCTAGAAGGCCAAGATCATCCTTTGTCTCTGCACCTCTGCACCTGACCGGAACTGGATGAGTGGAACTGCCAGCATGGCAGGGGAAGATTGGACCATGTGATGGGCTGGTGGGTGTGGAGGCAAGATCTTGGACTTTCAACTGGGTGGGGAAAACCGGGAAGCTTTCAGATTCGGGTTTTCCCAGATGTGCCAACATGAGTCTCTTAATAAATTGGAACTTTGAGCAATACTTTGCCTCAGACTCTGATTTACTTTAGGATGCTATTTGGAACTCTGACACTCTGGAGGCTTTCCTTGCGCCTCCGGAGGCCACAAATGAACCTGTTTCTGGACTTCTGGGAGGACCGTTTTTCGTCCTCCCAGAGCCTCCGCACAGGCTCTGTACTTACCTGGCATCCAAAACAGGCCGTGTGGAGACTCCTGGGAGGGGCGGAGCAGGGTGGGAGGGGCCAGTCAGTTCTTGCAACTACTGGTTCAGCGAACCAGATGTAAAATTAGCATCCGGTTCGCCCGAACCGGCTGAATCCCACCCCTGATGTGATCCCCTTTTGTGACCTTTTGACAACCTCCTCGCTGTCCAACTCTGCTGGCAGCTTCGCAGACCACCAGAAAGACCACAACACACTCAGTCCCCTCAGCTTCATCCCCATGCAAGGGATTACAGGATCGTTTTTTTAAAAAAGATGTACAGTGGTGATGGGGCCTCTATTGGAGCAGATCCTCCTGCAGAAGGAAACTACATTTCATAATATTTTTGCCGAAAACTGACATTTGCTTCCGTTTTTTGGCAAAAGCAGCCCCTAATGCACAATTGGTTTGTTTAATGACCATGGCGTTTGCTTAACAACTGCCACAAAAATCATAAGATCGGGTCAGTCATATGTGCAACCCGCTTTAGATCGTCATGACTTATGATCCTAATGGAATTTGGCCAGTCGTAAGTTCAAGGAGTACTTTTATCTTGCTTCCACAAAGTCTAGAAAGAGATCGTCAGCCGCGATCTTTGATCTTCTGGAAATTATTCTCCACCCTTTATTTTTCTAGCATGTATTCAGTCGGGGAGCAACAACAATTTTACAACCTTTTGTGTGCTGGATAAACTGGTTTGAGATCAAAAGCTAAGTAGGGCTGGGCCTAATTAATATGTATGTGTGTGGGTAATATTTATTATGGCCAAAATACCTCAATAGGACATAATGAATGGGCAGGTAAGAGAAAACCCCAGGCCTGGAGGCTAGACTCAGAAATGAAAAAAGAATGTTCTAGAAAAAAAGAGGACTGGCAGAACGTATCTATGGAGATAGATCTTCTAGGATTGGAGTCTTTAAGACTTGGGGACTTCAACTCCCAGAATTCCCTGGGAGCTATGCTGGCTGGGGAATTCTAAGGGTTTTAGATTATAGATTACCAGAGTTGGAAGAGACCTTGTAGGTCATCCTGTCCAACCCCCTGCCCAAGCAGACCCTAGACCATTTCTGACAAGCGGCAGTCCAGTCTCTTCTTGAAAACCTGCAGTGATGAAGCTCCCACAACTTCCGAAGGCAACTTCTGTTCCATTGGTTGATTGCTCTCACTGTCAGAAAATGTCTACTTATCTCTAGGTTGAACCTCTCCTTGTACTGTAATGCGCTCTACTTGGGGCTGCCCCTGAAAAGTGTTCGGAGACTGCAATTAGTCCAGAATGCAGCNGCAAGTGGTAGAGTCTAAACCTGAACTTTGGTTCAGGTCTCCCTTGCAAGTGGTAGAGTCTAATCCACCCACTTTGGTTCAGGTCTCCCCTGCAAGTGGTAGAGTCTAATCCATCCATTCTAGGTCAGGAAGAGCACAGTAGTGTAAGGTTCAATCTCCAATCTCTCTCGCTGTCTAGTGTAGAAGCCAACCTCAAGCAACAGGCATAACTTCCACGTTCACACCCCGGTTAAATGTCCCCAGCAAAGGAAACCAACAACAAACTTGGCTGGATGGTTTGTGAGGCGGAAACAGTCACGAAACCCTTGTGAATCTGGGGCACGGAGCCCAGAAGCCGGCTTCAGATTTGGGAGCGCAGCAAGCTTACGAAGCAGACACAGGAAGCCAGTGGCCAAGGCAGGGCCCATCAGAGGAAGATGGGCTGCTCCTGGCCAGTTAAAAGGCGATAGGTGGAGGCTGGCATGGTTTTGATATGGACCTGCAAGGAAGGAGAAGTGCAACCAGGTTAGGGGGCATGTCTGAAGCTGAGTAATGGCACATTAGGGTCCACATGGGGAGGGAGGATGTTGCCTGGTCTCAAAATGGCTTTCCATAGGTGTTATGATCTATATCAGGGGTCCCAAACCTTTCTGGGTTGACTGCTTAAGGCGGGGTAGTAATGGAGGCGCCTGTTCGAACATGTGCAGAGGGCTGCGAGTGTGCGCCCGAACTGGGCTGCGATTGTGCGTGCAATGCAAATTGCAAGCACCTGTGCAATGCTGCGAGCACACGCTCCCCCCACATTCGTGCTAGCGTTGCTAGGGCTTGCACACTTGCAGCATCACTGGCGCCAGCGCGAGTAGGGTGTGCGCTGGTAGTGATGCTAACGCGTGCATAACGCTCATGGGGTTGCGACTCAGCTGAGAGGAAATGGGATTTGGTGGGTTTTCTGAAGTGAACAGAATCTTAGCTGCAGGTTCTCCCGAATCCCTGCGAACCCCCAGCAGCCCAGGTTCCACCACAAAACCGCGGTCGACTAAAGCGCGTATCACTAAAGTGCGGTGACAAAACCGCGCCGTCAAAACCGCGTGACAACAGCGCGCCGACAATAGCGCGCCGACAGAAGCGCGCTGTAACATAACCCTAAAAATAACCCTAAACCTAACCCTAAACCTAACTAAACCTAACCCTAACCCTAACCCTAACCCTAAACCTAAAGTTAAATCACGCTTCTGTCGGCGCGCTGTTGTCGGCGCGCTGTTGTCGCGCGCTTTTAACTTTCGCGGTTTTAGCGCCACGGTGTTGTCGGCGCGCTTTTGACTTTCGCGGTTTTAGCGCCGCGGTGTTGTCGGCGCGCTTTTGACTTTC